GCAGAAACGCCCCTGCGACACCTCACGTCCAAGCACAAGAGATCTGTCTCTTGTGGGAAAGCGTCAAAACGCGGGGCCAAGAGGCCTTTGGAAGTCTTTCTGTGGAGTATGGGAAAGTGTCAAGAAGAAAGGCCGCTTCCAATGCTCAGACATTCACCTTTTCCTTTCCAAATAGGGGGCACATATCTTTGAAGCCTCATGTTGTCAAACTGGGGCCAAGCGATGGAAGTCCAGATTAGAGAGTTGGCGAAAGCAAGGATCAAAGTGGTTGGCAAATAGCACAGGTATGCTGAGATATGACACCTGGTTCTGGCGCATCTGCTCTTTTCCATGTGGGGAATGGCTTGTTCCAAAGTGACAGGCGCCTTGCTGTCCAGCCCTAAGTATTCCCGCTGAAAAAAAGCAAGTTGCATGTTCTTGGTGTGTGGTTTACTTGTAAGATCGGAAACTCACACATCAGCTTCCGCGAGGCTGGGTCGAATTCTGGCAAAGTGGATGCCTAGACCTCGGCCGGGCGGCACGCACCCTGCGCCGGCAAGAAGGAGTCGCCGGCGTCGCTGGGGAAAGGCTTCACCTGGGCAGCCCGGCAGTCACGTCGAACCCAAAACCAGATGGAATGCAGATGCAACACCTAGTGAGAGTAACGCAGCAAGAGATTGTGTGTGGGCTAGACATGTTCTTGCGCATTTGCAAACAGAAACGGTGCCACTTCAATTTGCGAGCTGCGGGCATCCGTGCATTCGAAGGGGCATTTGTCCCAGCCACTGCACAGAAGGTTTGGGATCACGAATCAACCCCGTACTGGCGTTCGAACAGACCTCAAACACTTCAGACGGTTTGTCCAAATGCAGTCCCGCCCTTGGATTGGGTTGCTATCACTTGCGTGGAGCGCTGTGCTTACAAATCTGGGCTGCCCTCAGATCCCCCGCTAAAAGTTTAAGTGGGTTAAACGGAAACTACCACTCAACACTAAAAGGCTAAAAAGCTAAGGGACCGGATGGCTGGGAGCCACCAAGAAACATGTGGGAGCGAAAGCCCTGGGACAGAACCCCCCCACCCACCCTCCGGCCTTCTTCCGCACGGCTTGGCCCTTCGGGGCCTTCGATCGCTTGGCGCCCTTGGCACCCTTGGACTTCTGGGCAGAGGTGGCCATGTCGAACATACTCGCCTCGGGGCTGGGCAAAATATGCTCAAACAACAAGATGGCCCCCTCTAAACGCGGAAGCCAAACAGAGGTGTTTGAACAACAGGCGTTTAATTGTGTTGAAACAGAGGGGTCAGCTCCACGCTGCCTCAAACCCAGAGATGCAGGGTGCGTGGCCTTGTTGCTCGCTATCACTGGCATGTTGAGGTTTCTGTTGGGTTTTGATGATGTGCAAGGGGTGCGTTTGTGAAGATGTCTGCCATCGCAACATGTGTTCATTCACATGGGTCGCACACTTGCGTTTAGCGACCCCCGACTCGGAAAAGTGTACTCTGAATCAAGTGATGTTTTGGATCATTCTCAACCTAGGCTCCACAACTTGAAACTGGTGGAAGGGGAAAACAACATCCAGAAGTCTGTGTTTGACCAAGGGCTGCCCATCAACGTCTCGTAGTCTTCTCGTCGTCTTCTCGTTGTCTTCCTGTAGTTTTCATGTCTTCCCTTAGCCTTCCCGTGGCCTTCCCGTTCCCGCAGTCTTCCGATCAATTAGGATACTTAGGAAATTCAAACGCCCAATTTCTCAGCCCTTGGATTTCCGCCCGGCCTGCCCCTTGGGCGCCGCAAAGCTGCAAGCCCATGGAAGCAGCAGCGCCGCAGTGGCAAGCGCGACGTGGCGCATGGCCATTTTGGGGGACTGTCAGAGGGACTCGTTGTTCTTTTCTTGAGAGCTCTGCGCGCCCTTAGGGGAGGCTATTCCACTCGCTCGCTGTGACGGTCTCTGGTGTGTGTTAAGGCTCGGGCTCTTTAAGCATGCGTTTGGCGTGCCGGTTGTGAGCGCTCGCTTGGTGACCCTCAGTGTGAAGTTTTGGGCAAAGCTTTGCCGTCCACCTGTCTGAGGCTCAACGGCTAGCAGCACAAAAAGCATAGAAACAATCTGGAAAATGTCTGCATGGAAGTGGGTGCGCAGGCGACTCTTTGCTCCCAAAATAGATCGGTCCGGTTGACACGAATGCTAAGCGAAAGGTTCAAAGATGCCATGCTGTTGATGCTGCCTGCATATGTGTGTGTGTGTGTCCCACGCATGCAGGCTGCCCATGCGTCACGGTGAAAATGCCATGCCTGCCAGGTTCATCTTGGCAACTCTCACACCTTTGATCAAATACAGTAGGACCATCGCACTTGAATAGAAGGTGTCCAAATGATCAGGACCCAACCCGGAATTCCGCTTGATTTTTTTGCGATCACGACCTGGCTGTGCTGGCAGATCCGCCCAGCAGCGTGGCGATATCGCCGAAGACCTGGGGCTGGGAAAGTGCCGTGAATGTAGTGGAGAGTGTGAGGCATGAAGGGTGTACCAAGAAAAGACGGAAGATCTTGCGCTTTCCCTTCAACTTGCTTTCTGACCGGATGGCCCGCTCCAAATCACGGAGCGCTTGCTGACTGGCTGTCGACAAGGACCAAGGAAATCGCAAGGCCACATAAATTTTGTGTTGGCCCAAGTACGATTTGGATTCATGAGAGATTGTGCTAGAAAATAACTTCAGTTGAGTGCCTTGGGAGGATTCACCACCACCAGCCCCAAAACAAAGAATGCCCATGAAGGGAAGGGATGCAATTTTGCTTAATCTGATTCCGACACAGCACACCTTGGGCGGTAGCCGCCACCCTCAATATATCTAAGAACGGAACAAATGTGGAATTGTGTTGCTTGTCATCTGGTGCTTTTTTTCCCGAGCAAACTGGGGATGCCTGGGCCACCCCCTCCAATGATTCCAACATTCAATCATTGCATCTTACATGTGGTTTGAGTGAGTCCAGCTCGCCTGTTCCAGGAAGAATGAAGGTACACACGAATTCATGACAGCACAAGACTCATGCTTCGACAGTTGCACTAAAAACTCGATTCTACACCCCAAGACAACCTGAGGTCATCCTGCGTGTTTGCCTGGAAGAACAAGAAAGGGGTGGTCAGCGCTAAGAAAGCTTAGCGACCTATCGTGCCAAACGCATCAGACATGACCCAACTTCAACTTCGACATGACGTCGCTTGGGGGTTGGCTTTCCCCGGAGAAAAACAGCAAAAACAATTCGAACGAGCACATTCCACCAATGACAACAAGCTTACTGGTGTGGCTTCCCTTAAAGGAAACCATATGGTTTTCTTGGGGTTATTCCATATAGAATTTGTAGGGGTCCTAGGGTCCTTCCGTTTCTCATTCCCTACCTATCGCACCAGCAGCGTCCGGGCGGCCGGGCGGAGGCGCCCATGTCTTGCGGCCGGTCCTGTGCCCGGCACTGCGCCCTGCGCTCCGCCACCGCCAGGGGCGTCTCCCCGGCGCCGTCCCGCAGAGTGCGGTCCGCGCCTCGCGCGTCAAAGCCCAAGTGGGCGAGCAATCGGAGATCCTACATGGCCCTAAATGGCCATGGGTCAAAAGCCCGTAGTGTACGTCCCAGTCCCCACTAAAATAGACCAAAATGGGTGGTTCACCTACCCCAGAATGATACCATTGGTTTTGACCCACAGCCAAATCATGGGGCTGGGGGAGGAAGGGGAGCGAAATAGTCAGGAAGCCGCCTGGGACTATGGTGTATGGGAATATGGGAACTGTGCTCTGCCCAGTTGAGTGCGCGGGGAGAGGAGTCTGAGACACTATAAATGCGGCCAGCCCCTGAGGTTTGCCTGCGCCTCGAACCAACGCCCCGACACAAAAACCCTAAACCTAAACCCTAAAAACCCTACACCTAAACTAAAAACCCTAAACCTCAACACTAAAAACCAGAAACCTAAACCCAAAAAACCCTAAACCTCAACCTTAAAACCCTAAACCGAACCCTAAACCTAAACCCTAAAGCACTAAACCTAAACCCTAAAAAACCCCAGACCTGCCGCCCTCGTGGTACCACGGCCCCACGTTCTGAAGAGAACGCAGGTCACCACGTGTCAGGTATGGCTGCGCGAGTTCTGCTACTTGACTAGTAAAGCGAGTCACCTTGGGCATGGGCAGGACAAGGGTGGATTAGGGGGTGCCGGCAAACCACGGGGGCTGTGGGTATAAATGACTGTCACAGCGGGGCATAGAGAACGCCGAGCTTTGTGGATAAGGTAGCGTCCTACTATCCGATACTCCGGCGGCCTTTCAAAGGAAAACTGTCAGCCGACAGTGCTTGTTTGCTTTTGGCCAACCACTTGTAGAAATAGCCTGGGGCCCTTCCTGGCAGGAATTCCAAAAGAAAGCGAAGAAACCATCACCAAACCCCACTCCGGGTCAGAAGTGCCTGCGGCCAGTAGCGCCACTACCGCCGACCTGGCGATCGGCTAACATACCTGACGTTTTGCGGCCGTGTTTGAGCAAACATACCCGACCCCGGCTCCACATGGCGCAATTCCCGGCGCCGAAGGGAAACAGCAAATCTCCGCATTCCGCGGACCTCACGCACTGCTTCGCATCCGCCTGTGGCCGTTCACCACTGCCCAGTGCAGCGGAGATCTTCCGAAGGCGTCCTGGGCCTGGCCAGTCCCTACGAATGCAACCGAGCCCAGCCGAATTGAACAAGGATTTAAGCGAGTGAGAAAGAATGGGATGTTGGCTTGCAAGCTTCGATTCTCCCTCTTCCGCTGTGCATACTCTTGCTTCTTAGCCCTTGACATCTATCTACTGCCCTTGCTCTTTTCCTACTGCCTATTCCTATTCTCTTGCCCCCTCTCTCCTGGTCCTTTCCCCTGTTTGCTGTCATCACTTCTCCTTCCACCGTCTCACATCTGCGGGATTGAAGCACTTCCACCAGCTAGCCAGAATTTATGTAAGGTAAGCCAGCAACAAGTCCGATGGGAGTGCACACTTGCCTCAACTTGCTGGAGCTTGGAGACTTCTCATTGAATAGCTTTCTCATATGCTCGTTGGTTCGTACCATGCTCTTTCGCTCCCTGATTGATTGCCAATCAACATGTGAGGCATGTCCCAATGTTGATGTTCTGATGTTTCGCTACTCCAACAGGGATTCTTGCGAATTGATCCTCTTATTTGCGATCTCAAGGGGTGGTACACGACTATCTCATGACTTCAGGGTCTTTGGGCTCCAGGAGTGCGGGCCTGCCCAACCAGCGGGCCTCCGCTTTTCCCGAAAACAGGCAGTCCGTCAGAGCCAGAGGGGTCACATAGCTGCAGATCCTGCTTTTGTCGACCCACCCATTTGTTGGGCCACACAAAATGGAGGTCCAAAGGTTTGGGGTTGGAAAAACCATGGCTCCCTCATGTACCCCTCGCGGAGATCACATTGGTGCTTGGATCCCGCACGTCCACGCCGAATCCTTTGGCGCGGCCCTTTCTCGGCCCTTCCTGGCGTGCGCGGCGCCGAGTGTGGAGCATGAGGATGCCCCCGAGAAACTGGAGCCAACCACTGGACGCGGTTGGGGAGCGAAGCTCCTCGACTTATGCACTGCCTTTAGCACGTGAAGGACCAAGAAGCCAACTGGGATGCTGGTTAGGCACCTATGGAGGGGAACCACCAGGTCCCGGTCCATTCAGGTTTCGAGATGAAGTCAACACATGCAACATGCGTTGGCACCCTCCTTTGTTTGAACTCAGCCTTTGCTCGACCAAACCTGACAATGTCGATACATAAGTCGGCAAGAATGAATTTCTCGTCAACCGGTCCTCACCAGCTGCACGTCCAGGCAGGAAACTCCAGCTTGCACGAACAACTGGATACGGCGAGCGGCAAGCAACATCCAAAGGGCACAAAGAGAAGCCCGCCGCATTTTTTGCCAATCATGACCCATCATCAGACCCAGAAGACCCACAGGGCCTTCAGCAACTCCTCCAGCAGTGCCGTCTTGGCCCCACCCCTGGCCGCCCAATGCAGCGCCGTCTGCTTCTCCGCGTCAGCGGAGGCGCCCGCCGCGCGGTGCGCCAGCAGCAGACGAAGCAGCTCCAGGGCGTGACCGGCCCCACCGAAGGCCGCCAGGTGCAGTGGCTGAACCCCCTGCGCTCGCACATGTGCAAAAGGGAAATGGGGGGGGGGTACAAGAAACTGTTGTGTTTGTTGTTGCTTCTTCTTTTTTCTCCAGCTGAAAGCTTTGGGGTCTCAGCCCAGATAGGCTTCAGGGTGGTCCGGGGCGGCCCTGAGGCAAGGTTCCACGAGGGTTCCAGGGTTCCACCAGGGTTTCACCAGTTCCACGAGGGTTCCACGAGGGTTCCACGAGGGTTCCACGAGGGTTCCACGAGGTTCTGTGAGGGCTGCAGGGTGGTGCGAGCACTAAACAGAGCACCGCATGCAGTTGGGGATGTCACCTGAGCTTATTTTCGAGGGGAAGGGTGAAGAAAGAGGCAAGGGGTGTTGTTTGTGGAAGTTTGGGAGAGGGAGGGGGGGACTCGTGATGTTAGGGGGGGTGGGGTCTGTTTTGGATGTTTTTTGAGAACCAAGAGGGGGTCAATACTCCTTGGCCCCAATCCAAGAATTCTAAGAAAGCAAACACTCAGTCTCCACTGTGTCTCTTTCCTTTGTTACTAGGGCCAGGGTTCTGTTTTTGACTACAGGCAGACTTCAACCCAGAACTGGCTGATTCCCCCCAAAAGGGAAACTCCTGGGCTTAAGTCTACCTCAAGGAGAAAAAAGAAGAAGAAGAAGAAAAACGAAAACCCTGACTAGGGCTCCCATGTCCGCTTCCTCGCCCAAGGGCGCCGAAGCGTTCCCCGGCCTTGGAGTCCTGGCACCCGGCGCAGGCCCGCGCCTGCAGCAGGAGCTGCGCCGCCTCCAGGTGGCCCTGCAAACAGGCCTCGCGGGAAGCCGACTCGAGGTATGGTGCCTGGGGGCGGGCGGTGAAAACAACACCAGGAGCCATACCGAACTACCCAAAGGCGTCCTTTGAGGGGAAAGAGATGGCCCTGGCAGATGGTTAAACCACCGGGCAAGCCAGGGCCATCCACTTTTACACCAAGACCACCAAAAAGGACACCTATGCCGGCTGGAGGGGTCGGCTGGAAGGATTCTTGATAGGGGCCGTTGACTGGGGCAGTGTTCCGAGCCCGCCGACACCTTTGCAACAGCCATGCCATCCTAGGGGCGAAGTGTGTTCTTAGCGGTTGAATTCGGGGAGTCTGAGAGGGGGGGGCGGGGCCGGGGGCCGGCCCAGCAGATGTTTGACACTCATTTCCATTCTCTAACTTGCTTAACCTCTAACTCTAGCCTCTAACTTCTCGACAACCAGCGGCTCAGTCTAGGACTTTTGTTCTGTTGATAAACGTGGATGTCCAAGCGCGTGTACTGACTTCAGTGGATGTGGGACACGTTTCTAGCCTAAATCGGTCAACGCTCCAGCATCATCAGCAGCGCTTAATCTAGGAAATTGTATTCCGTTTGTCGCCGACATGTTTCTGGACAAATTGGCCTGTAACTCTAACCTCTATCTCTGACCTCCAAGTCTAACCTCTAGCTTCCCTAACTCTACTTCCAACCTCTAACTTCTTTAACACAGCGCGTCAGCCTCCGCGAAGAAAGGAGCAAGGGGGAACAGGCGAGCTTGCATGACCAGCCCTACGAGATCGGAAAGTTGCGACCGATGCAGAACGAAATCCCACAACCTCTCATGAACAAATACAGACGCAATCGTGTCATCTCGGCGTACGGCCCAAAATCAGCTAACAAGCAATGATACCAACCTGCCCAAGCCTCAAGGATTTCAAGCATAAGCAGCCTGATCCCCTCTCAACAAGTGTCACCAAGCCGCCGCGTGCAGGGGGCTCCGCGCATTCCGCTCCGGAAGCAGCCCAGGCCGCAGCAGGATTCGCAGCACCTCCGTTGCGCCGACCCCGGCGGCGTAGTGCAGCACTTCGCCGCGGGACATCAGCTCGTCTCCCCGGACCTCTGGCGAACAGCGGAACCGGGGGGATGGGGATGGGGAGGAGGAAGGGGGCAAGAGGAAGTCGTGAGAAACCACAACAATGCAAATGAGTAGCTTGCTCGAAATCACGAGAATCAATGAACATAGTCATTGATTCACTGAAGAAACGGCTTGAGAAAAGATGCTCGTTTTTGCCGTGAGGGAGTCAGGGAGTCTCAATGCGCTGGATCAAGGTTGAAGTTTGGACCAATTCGGCCAAGAAAGCCCTGCCTCATCCTCCTCCTCCTCCTCCTCCGCCGCTTCTTCGGGTGCTGCAAAATGGCTCCCCAAAACCGACCTCTGCAAGTGCTGCAGGTAGTCCGCCAAACGAGGCTTGCTCAGCAAATGGCCCGGCAGCCTTGGCTGAAATGCAGAGTCCAGTGCGCTGGCATCACACCGAAATTGCTGTGTGAAGTGGGAAGGCCCAAAGGTAGCCCGACGGCAGCTCAAAGAGCAGTCCAAAGGTAGCCCCAGCAGTCCAAGGTAGCTCAGAGGAAGAAACCCAGTCCCTTGAAACGCAAAGCCAAGCCGCAGCGGTTCGGGCAGGGCTTCGCCAAAGGTACCGCCGTCGAGTTCGCACCTCTACAAGCTTTAGGGTCCATGTTGAGAAGGAAAGTGGTCTTCCATGGTCTTCCAGGAACTAAGGATCCAGCTGAGGGCAACATGCAGAGTTAGAGCACCCAGGTTGCCACTCTATTTTTTCGCAAAAGGGAGCCTGCGAATGTCCATGTTGCCTTTGCGCACGAGACCAGCCCAAGTTGTTTGTGCGCCATGGCCTCCTGACATCGGCGGGTTCCTGCGGGTTCCAAGTTCCAAGTCCTTGCCTGACTTCTTACATTCTGCTACTGCGGTACCGCTACCACCGCTACCACTGCTACCACTGCTACTGCTGCTACTGCTGCTACTGCTGTATGTCTCCTCCTCTATTATACGTCTAGGTCCGCTTCTGCCACATTGCTACATCTGTATGCGAACATCTTCTATGCCCAATACCACTGCTATGAAACACCTCTTTTCCGCATTTGTGCGTCAACCTCCAAGTTTGCTACGCATCTCTACACTGCTTGCAAGTGTTGATAAATCATGCAGGGACAAGCCAAAGGATGGAGATGCTGAAAGCGTAGCTGCAATTCAAAACATTCCTCAAGCTGGCAAGCAAGCCCTTCAGCATCTGGGGGCGCCAATTTCTGACAAGCTCAATTCAAGGCACGTGAGAAGTCAGAATGAAGACAGGCAGTCACTTTTTGGATGGTGCCATTTCGTGCCTCCAAGGCGTACAATTATCCACATAGGCATGATGTTTAATTGGTTGGACCCTTACGTGGGTATCATTTACATGAGGACTGATATCCATCAACATGTTTCAAAATTTAAATATGAGCCCTTGTGAGGTTATGCCTTTTGGGGTTTGGCTTGAAGGGAGACAAACAGGATGCCACCCATTTTGAGGGTTCCCAAGCATAGAAATAACCACAAGACAACCACAACAATTGATCTAGACAAAAACCAGGGAGTCTTTCTGCCCCACTTGCCAAAGAATCCTAAACTGGAACAACGGAACCTCAAAAGACCTTCATGCTGGGTGAAACCGGTCGCACGCAAACCCCTTAGGTCGCGACTTCATTTGCCAGATCTTTGTACATCTCCCTCAGGGAGCATATGGCCATGGGTCAAAACCCCGTAGCTCCAGTGAACATCCCAATCCCAATCCAACCACCAAAATAGGTCCTAACATGGATGGCGCACCTATCAAAATAGGTTCTAACCTGGGTGGTGAATTCACCTATCTCAACATATCCCAAAACGGTCTTGAACCATGGCCATATGAAAAAGGCTCCAGCCATCTTCCTGTGCCAAAATGGACCAAACTGAGTGGTTCCGTGCCACGAAGATGGCACCCAAAAAGCTCATGAAGCTCCAGGAACTCGACTGAGCATTTGCGGATTTGTTTTTCCGGATTTGAAAACATGTCCAGTGATAGACTCCCTTTGAAGCAAAACAAACCTTGAAAAAAAAAAAACTGTTCAGCCAAGGGGGGTGTATGCTTTTCCTCCAGAAAGCCTGGCCCACGCCTCATTGCCAGGCGCTGGCAGACCCGCAGTGCAGCCATGGAGTCTCCGCCCAGCGCCAGGAAATCGCTGCGGAGGGTCACCGACACACCCAGCACCTCCACGGCACATCCCCGACGGCCCTGCTTGGTTTTGGTGGGGGGGAGGGGAGAGGTGTCAAACTTCGTGCTCAGACCCAACCTGCTTGTTGCGGGCGATTGTCATGCTGAGTTTGGTGCTGGTTCCTGTGGGCGGCAGATTCTGCGGCTGTGAAACCACTCAAACCATGGCAGGTGGGTGCGCTCAGCAAGCAGCGACCCCATAAACCCAACCTCCTGCGCTCCACGCCGGGCTTTTCGGTACCCCGTGCCTTCCTTTGCCCGGTATGGTGGACAGTCGGAGCACCCCAAGATTGGTTTTCAGGGGTTCGGCCACTGACAGGCAAAAAGAAACCGAAAGCAAACTCACTTCTTGGGGACCTGAGGGCCCTATTCTGAGGCAACACTGCAACACTGGCCCTCCATCCTCAACCAATTCCGGACCATCAAGCTTCACTTGCATCATGGGTCCATCTCTCCTCCCCCCCCGGGCCCCGGAGCCTGGGACCCGGGACCCGCCTCCCGCCAAGCCGCCGCCACCTGCTCCGCCGCGCCGGTCCTCGGCGCCGAGGCTCCCAGGGCCAGCGGGGGAAGGGCCCACTGCGCCAGCGCGCGCCGGGAAACCTGGCCGAGCGCAAGTCAGGCAGGGGAAACCAAAAGCAAGCCGATGGTTTTGGAGGGGGTGCGGGGGCACATCCTACTTCCGGGAAACACCCCCCCTTGGGTGTGTGTGTGTGTGTGTGTATATATATATATATGCGTGTGCGGGTGTGTCAATCTTGGGAGTTGGTACCCTTTTAGGGGGGTAGGTTTGGAGGAACACCAAGAGCAAGCCGCGCCCACTTTCGGTCTGATTCTATTTAAACTACTAAATTTACCACTGAGAACCGCCACCTAAGACTTGTTTGAGAAACAACGCAAACTCTAGCCACCAAGCTTTGCAGGATGAAGCCTGTTAAACCCAAAGCACCCGTTTCCAGTCCACTCCACAGATTCGGTTTGGGTTGGGACCATCCCCTCGTACTTGAGTCCTAACGGATGTCAGCTGCTGGCAAGGCGTTCAAATCATCTCTTGGAACACACTCTCTCCGATTCACCTTCCACCACGATTTCCAAACCCTATAGACTTGGGCCATGGCTTTCATGCGACCAGTTGCCAAGCTCCGGTTCATCATATTCACAACATCCTGACATTCAGGGGATTGACTCACAGGCTTGCTTGTGATCTAGCCAACGCAAGGTTGCCACCCTTTTTCCCCCACCTAACCATTGGCTCAACTCTCGGGGGAGAAAAAAAAAAAACACCCCCCCAACACCCCCCCCCCCCCAACCACTCTGCGCCTTGCCACTGCTGGTGAGCGGAAGCTCCTCCACCGGCACCACCCGCGCGGGGACCATGTGCGTCGGCAGCCGCTCCGCCAGCAGCGTCTTCACCAGCGCGCAGGCGGCCAACTCGCCGCGTGAGCCGCCTGAACGAGGAGCCAGGAGTTGGCCCGCGGGCGCGTTCCTGAAGATCTGGAGACAAAAGCTCGGCCTTGTTTTGGGGTGGTGGTGATTGTAGTCTAAGGCTGGTTTGGGTTACGGGTTGTAGTATCATACAGAGCGCTGAGCTCCGTTCTGACATTGCACTTTACTGCCACGCACACGCACACACACTGGCAGGCTCCTAGAAAGGAGCTGCAGCCTCGCTCTTCCCTTCCCTTTCCCTGGAAGCTAAGGCGTTCAAAAAATGCAGGTACATTGCCAGGCGTCCCGAGCGACATCCTAGAGCGGTCAAGAGCTTCGCGAGCGCGATGTTACAGGCTCCCTGCCCCCCCAACCCACCCAACCCGCATTTTGAAAAGCCGGACACTCGGTAATGTTTGCTCTGCGGTCTGAGCCTTGCGCCTGCAAAGCCCCCTTGTCATCAGACTGTTCTCTTACAGAGATAGAGACAAGGCTGAGACCTACCTCACAGAGCTAAAAGTCAGGCACAAACCCACCTCACTGGAACCTGCCACAAGAAGAAATGCATCACCATGTTCTTTCTTGTTGGCCATGAAGCCTAATGTGCTAAAGCATTGGGTGCTGATGCGCTATGTCGTGCGAGTGGAAAAGAACGAGAGCTGAGCTTCGGGCAAAACTTGTTCAACGCAACAAACAGAGGGTACCCTTTCTGAGATCCTTGGGGGTAGTCCAAGGGAAACCGGCCTGCCTTGCAGCACGCAATAGAGCACCAGCAACCCCTCCACCAGCACGCAGCACGCTGAAGCCAGGAGCTCTGGCCTGACCGACAGGCCATGCAGAAATGAGACTTGTTCAGAAAGAAATGGGTGCGGTTCTCAAAACTCGAGTAACCCAAAAATAGGTTGCCCTGGTAAATGGAACCAAGGGAAACCTGCGGTCCCCTGATCCAGGTTTAATTTTGACCCATACACAAATGAGATTCGAGTTGTAGTGAACTGTGGCTGCATCCCAAGAAAATTGAAACACCTACTTGGAGCTAGAATAGGAATGGACAAGCATGATAAAGTGATGTAGAGCCTTTGGAATTCACACACTATACATACATCATATGTATAGCCTGTGTAACTGCGTGATGGCTTGTGGGAATGTGGTAAGCGTGCTGCTGCTGCTGCTGCTGCTGCTGCTGCTGCTGCTGCTGCTGCTGCTGCTGCTGCTGCTGCTGCTGCTGCTGCTGCTGCTGCTGCTGCTGCTGCTGCTGCTGCTGCTGAACCATGGTTTGAGATAGATCTGGAATTGCCTGAACAACCTGGCGGTTGATTGTGGTGGCATGCTGGTTCATTGTGTGCGTGTGTCATGATCATAGAGGACTCGCTGCTTCTCACACCCGTGTCCTCACGAACAAATACTCGGTCGCTCACATCTACAAACCTTCTGAAGCACTTTCAACTGTTAGCCGGCAACCTGAAGAAACAAGCAGAGCATCCTCCAAGCTTCCACTCAAACTCACAATTCAGTGACAACAAAGAGAAAGAATGAGCTGTCAGATGCAAGCAGTAACGTTTCATGGTCCAAATGACAAGTTGCTGGTTCTGGTGGTTGACCTGAATTGTTCATCCGCGGTGATGGTTCACATGTGACTCAAGAAATCTCAGCAGTGAACAGCCCATATGGCCAAGAAGCCGTGACACTGATTTGGTGCGCAGGTACCATCGCCACAAATACACAGAATGCCAAATACTTGTCGCGCAGAAATGGTAGATTTGATGTATCATCCCCACTCTGAGTTTGTTATGTGAAGCACTGTATGGTTCTGTGTGGGGTTACCACGCGAAACGCCGCTCTGAGATACCTAGTATTGCTTCACGCAAGCAAAAGGTCTGCACATGAATAGACACGTTTGCCAATGTCAGGTTGTCAAACACAGGGGCCCTGCTTGCAGAGAACAGGGCAGGGTTCTCACCACTTCAAATTGACAAAGAAAGGGTGATATTGATATTTAAAACCACCGAAACAAATGACACCAAAAAAGGTGATAGTCCCCACCCGCCCATCCACCCACCCCACCTGTCCACTTTCGTGATTCTTGGAAAAAGGGCCGGCCCTTTCATGTTCCTTGCGTTTCCCCAAACCACCCAACATTGAAATTTGTCCCAAACCACTTAACACTTCGAGATCTAAGGACCCCTGCTGTTTGACATGCATTTGGGCCCCTTGTTTTCACCACCAACAGTCCAAGTTGTGCGGGAGCAAAATGTGTGGCGGACAAGAAACAAGAAGAAGCAAAAACGAACCCAAGTAAAATATATGAAAGAAAAAAAAATAGGAAAAAACATAATTACATAATTACATATATACATATATACATACATATGTATGTATATATACATATATACATACATATATGTATATATATATATATATACACGCCTACATACGCCCCTCCCCTCCCCTCCCCCCCCCCCTCGCTTTTTCCTCGGACCTCCCGTCTGGGTCTCCCCGGCGCGACACTTTGGGCCACCTCCTCCACCTCGCCCAGCTCCACGCGGCGCCCGCGCAGCTTCCTCCACCCAAGCGGCCCCGCAGCCCCCGCAGCCCCGCAGCCCCCCCCGGCCCTTTGCGTCGAAGGGAGAAAACCCGAAAAGAAAAATGGGAACCCAGAGGAAAACCCGAAGGAACACCACTATTAAACAAAAAAGAGTGAGAAACCCCCCCCCCAACCAAAAAAAAAAGGAACCACGGGGTGCAACAAAGTCACAAAAAACTTGCCCCACAGGAAGTCCTGTGCCGAGATCTGCCGCTATCATAACTTTCTGCATCTACACCCACCGAACACACCAAAGCAACCTGCCAATCTTTCTTCATCCTCTCGCTTGCGCTCGATTGCAGCTGAGCGGCACCATGCCGTCGCGGCGGCCCAACAAGTGCCACTCCCCTCGCGATGCGGGTGAGGTTAGACTCGCTTTGAATCCTTCTGATCACGAAAAGTGAGGAAACCTCCTGGTTTGAAAGTTGCAGTGACGAAATCCACCATGGGCAAACAGTCTGCGAGGCAAGTGGTCAAAAGACATGGAAATCATGGTTGAAGAGCATGTGCTTTTCCAGAACTTGGCTAGAACATATTTGTGGAGCACATGATTGGATGCCAATCCCTCGGCTCATTGCAATGAACCTCTGCGCCATCTTGTTGCTGGGGCCTTGCCGAGAAGCGTCAGGTGTGCCGCCCCAAGCCCATGACGCCCTGGCAACCCGCTGCACGCCCATGCTCTCCGTGCAGAAGTTGCGAAACCTGAAACCTAAGGAGGAGCCGGGTGTCCAATGCACCCCCCCAAAAAAAAAATATATAATAGCAAACACAGTAGTAGCAAAAGCCCACAGCGACAAAACCACCACATCCACAGGGAGCTTCCCGGCACCCACCTTCGTATCCCCCCCCCCCGCCCTTGGCGCCTGAGGCCTTGGAAACTGCCAGGTCGCCACCTGCCGGCTCGGATGGGCCCCGGCCGACGGCACCTGGGCCCTTGTTTTTGACTATCCAAGGTGGAAGGCGGCACCCAAAACCCAAAAGCCTGGACCACAGCGTTTGGTGCGTATCCTATGGAGCACCCAAAGGAAATTCAAAGATGCGGAGCGTAAAGTCGCCTTCACACGGACGGCGAGAATATGCGGTTGCAACGACACGGTTTCTGAGTGAGTGCCCTGATCTTCGAGTCACCAAACAGACCATCTGGACATATTAACCGAAGCTCGCACAGAAAACACAAAGCCACTCCAAAGGAACTGACCGGGCGCCCGCGCTGCGAAACCCTCGGCGGCCGTCCGCATCGTGCCGGAAGCGCTCCGCGGTGAGCTCTGGGCGCCTTCCGGGCCCGCACTCCACAAAACAAGACTTGCGGATGGCATCTTTTGGGATCCATTCCTGGGAAGAACCCTCCCCTTGCTGCCCCTTTCCAGGGAGGGGCGAGGGGGACCCAGGCGGAGCTAAGCAGAATCAGCTCGGTGAGTATGCGACGAGCTTGAGCGCCGAACTGGAATATCCAGCCAACCTCTGTTCGCATACACTCCGGTACTCTGCGTGGGTGTGTTGGTGTTTTTGCAGAGGTAGCAGCTGCCATGTTTAATACCAAGGATCCGTGGAAAAGTGTTTGAGACCCGACCATCATGGGTGAGGTCGAAGGCGTGGCCGTGATGATCATGGCAGGTCAACCAAATCGACGGACTGATGATGTGTGACCGACCAAGCGGCCAACTCAAGCTTGGCGGATCAACAAAGCATGCTGATCGTCCCATTCTATTCACGCAGCAGTGTCCCCAACCCTAGACCAAAGAGGGAGGCATTTGTTTGACTGAAGATGAAATGTTGAAGTGAGTGATAAGCTGCCCTGATCTCGAAGGCATCGAGACCTCGCTTTGAAGCATATCTTGACACGCATCCAGAACAGTGATCCATCCCTGCCACAGATCTATCTTCAAAATCCCCAACCCCAAACAGGGGGAGATGAACAGGCGAATGGTGCTGTCTCTTTTCAATTGGTATCTTTTTTGGTTGGATGGTGTCTCAGAGAACCAAAGGGGAAACCACCCATTTTTGGAGGTTGCCCTATTTGGAGACAAGGCCACCTGGCCCGGCCTGAGGTAGCCAAGTCCAACCTGCGCCCCAAAGATCCAAAGTTCCCCGATCTCCTCACTGCCCTCCTTCGCACAAAACGCCGCGATGCCGAAGGCGGGAATGACCCCATTGCTGGGACCCTCTTGAGCTTTCAGGGCTAAAAACTGGAAAATCAGGAATCGCCGGCGAGCTCGTTTTGCCGTCAGATGACAACGAGCTCGTTATCATTTGTGCAGATTATAGTTTCCACCCGGACATTGCAACATGTGTAGTCCTCTTCAATTACCATGAAACTGCCATGTTTGATCCTTCCGAAACGAGACATGCGAGGGCGCCTGGCTTTTTGGGCTTGGAAAGACATGGCAAAAAGCTTCAAAGGCCCTATTCAAGATCTTTTGCCCAGCGGTCAGCTGCTGTTCAATGACTCTGCACTCCAAATCGCTCGAGGAGCAACAATCCAAAGGCTCCTGTCCTGTTGCTTGCCGACGTATCTGGCAAGTTTTCCAAACACTCCCTCAAACGGAATCTTGCATTTAGGCATTACCGAGTTCGCTCAAATTGACAGCAATGCCCCACGCATGTTGCTATCTAGAAGCCAATTTCCGTCATTCGCTCAGAATGGACACCTTGCAGCATGTCCGCGTCGAAGTGTCTAGTGTTTCTCGCTGGAGGATCAGCTTGTGCTTGCGTGCCCCTGCCCCCAAGAAGGCCCTACTATTCAACAAGCCCACCAAAACTGCGCTTTAACCGCTGGGAAACAGCAAAGTCGTGAATCCTTTCCAGGAAAAGCCTTCAAATTGCAAATAGCGGACCTGTCATGACACTCCGAATCTAGGTGCCTCATGGAAAGCAAGTGCTGCCTCACCAAGATCGTGTCCCTAGTCAGCCAGAAGCCACTGATATCCCGATTTCACAAAAAGAAATGGGTTTGTCTTTTGAGTACTTTGGAGGGAACCTTCTTCTGGGGGTCCTTTTATAAGGAGAACCATAGCGAAACCGGGAAGCCTACCCATTTAGAGGGAAGCCCCATGGGACAAACCCAAATACTTCATGTGGTGGTCACGAGTTTGAGTCGCGCCCGCGCGAATCGATTGGTTGAAAAAATGCCTGTCCTCCACGCATTGGTCGGGATCATCGCCTGGAAACGAGCCACAATCAAACCAACCAGGCATTTAAGGGTTCCGCCCACAACCATGTGCAGAATCAAAAGCTTGGCTGCAACTATTCATGGTTGGGACTGTCCCTGTCCCCCGCTATCCCTCCCTTACCCGCGACACCGTCAGCAAGAAAGCTGATGAGGAACTGGATTTGGACTTAATTTCTGCATACGTCTGGATTGAAGGGGCGGTGCCTTTTCATCCCCATCGATGCAGCTGTGCAGTGGTTTCAAATATTTCTTCATGTCAAATCCTGAACCAGACAGAATCAGCCAGCGCCTTCATCAGATTTGCCCGTGGCTTCTCTTTTGTGGATTTACACGTTAGTGACCAAAGAACTTGCTTCTGTGCTTCCAACCCTCATCGCTACTCACTCCTCTCCTCCCTCCCAATCAAGTCCTCATCGGCGCAAGCGGCTTGCGGATAGAACCCAAGAACCGCGTCAACTCCCCCCCCCCTCCCGACCTCCTAACACCCCCCCACCTCCTTCCCCCCTCCCACCCACCCCACCCCACCCCACTCGTCCCCACCCGCACCCCACCCGCACCCCACCCAACCCCCAGCCCACTCCCCCATCCCCCCACCCCCCCACCACTCCCCCACCCCACCCCACCCCACTCCCCCACCCCACCCCACTCCCCCACCCCACTCCCCTACCCCACCCCACTCCCCCACCCCACCCCACTCCCCAACCCCTACCCTACCCCACCCCCACCCCAACCCCACTCCCATCGCCTTTGCCCTTCGCCAGGCGCAGCTCCGCCGTTTCCAGCGGCTCACCCAGGCGCCGGCGGCTGGCGCCCGGCGCCAGTGCTGCAAAGGCCTCTTCGGATGCGACTTCCGACAGAACTCGGGCGCTGTAGATCCCCCACCAGCAAAAGTTAAGTTATTTCCAAGAAACCAACTACAGGAAGTTCAGGAAACTTTTGATTTTGGTGTGAATTTGGCTAGTTTCCTGTAGAATTTCCTTCAGCTGGTGTCTATGACTATGTTTTTGCTGATTTGCTGGTTGAATGGAAATATGAGGGGACTCCAAAAAGTTAAAGTCTGAAGATCCAACCCAATAGCAGTAGAGAGAACATGGCCCTTTCGCTAAACCGGCGGCCCAAGACATAAAACGCCTCAGTTCCAAGGAGGGGGGGGAAGGGGTGGTTTGACAAGCTCACCGGAAAGGTCTGGGAAGCAAGGGGCGGGTGGATGAGAGCGAGAGAGAGAGAGAGAGGCCAACTTGATTGAGACCTACGGAAAGCGAAGGGAAGGGTTGCCCTCTGGTAGAAATTTATGTGCGATCTGATCTTTCGCCTGGGCCACTCAAGATTATGACTTTCAGCAGACAAAAAACAGGACGATCGATGTACGCCACCGTTCTACATCCCTCTCAACACTCACCCCGAAGCTATCCCCGCGTCATCAGTCTGCGCTTGTATTCTGACAGCCCTTTGACGAAAGCCACCAATCACCCTGGAGGCACGGATTGGCGGAATCACTTGAATCAACAAACATCCCCCACATTGAGTGCCGAAAATTATTGTTTTGTCCGTTTGGTTTCCCCGGTAAACCAGCCTCAAAGAACACACCCCTTGATCATATCCGACACAGGCGCTCGGTACACGGCCTGGTACACGGTGCACTCCGTAACCCCGTAGGTATTCAACAGGCCTCAGGCAGAAACCGCAAGGTGCAAGTGGCGTGCTGTTTTGAAGGTGTGCCGTTAAAAGGGGTGGGTCAAAAAAGAAACCAACCACTTGAAAAAGTACTCCCTTTAAGACTTTTGAGGCATACCCACATCAGCATTGGGGGAGTCGGGGGTGTTGTTAAATCTGAACAAATTATACATAGACATATATATATATATATATATACATATATATATATATATATCATACATATAATCGATGTAGATATATATATATATATACATACATGGACGTGTATATATATATATATATATAGAGAGAGAGAGAGAGACACCGGGTGTTGGTGGGGATGTGATTTTAACATGAAAATGCTACAAAACACTGTTTTACGGTGGTTTCTTGCAAACTAGGGCTGATAACGAGGTAAAAACGCCTGTGTATATGGATGTGTTTATATATATATATATATGGTACCCCCCCCAAAACCCAGGTTTGGTCTGAAAACACTGGTATTTACTGTGTTTTCTGACAAAAAACCTGAATCTGCCAGAACCCTCAGTTGTCAGGCTGTCTTTTCAGTTTTCAAGGAAGCTTTCTGGCCAAGAAACTCTCTGCAAAACTGAACAAACTGCAAAAAACTGAAAAAACAAATGAAAAAAACTAGAAAAAACTGAAAATACTGAAAAAACTGAAAAAACTGAAAAACCAAGGATTCTGAGGGACATGCCCCCCCCCAGCCATGTCCCTCAGAATCCTTGGTTTTTCAGTTTTTTCAGTTTTTTCCGTATTTTCAGTTTTTTTTCAGTTTTCCTTGGCATCTGAGCAGAACCGAGCCCATATTTGAAGCTGTCTGGCTCCAGCGCTTCCTTACTCCTCTTCTGCCCTTTGTTCTGACCCTGTCCTAGCATGGCCAAGGAGCCTGAGGATATGACCTTTGATGACCTCAAGAACGCATGCGACGCTTTCGTATTTTCTGAGTAGTTTTCTTGTATTGCCCTGGTGACTTGTCCAGACAAATTGAGCCTCGTATTTTGTCAGCATTCTCCTAGTATGCTCCTTTAGTATTCCCCCAGTCTTCCTTGAGTATTTCCCTAGTATTGCCCTAGTCTTCCTTTAGTATTCTCTTGGTATGCCCCGAGTATTTCCTAGTAAGGGAAGGGAAATACTAGGGGAATACCTTCAGTATTGCCCTAGTATTCCTTAAATATTCTCTTGGTATACCCCTAATATTCTCTCAGAATTCCCCTAGTATTCTCCCTGTGTTCACCTTTAATATTGCCCTAGTCTTTCTTGAGTATTTCCCTAGTATTGCCCTGGTATTCCTTTAGTATTCTCTTGGTGTGCCCCCAAGTATTTCCTAGTAAGGCAAGGGTAATACTAGGGGAATGCCTTCAGTATTGCCCTAGTATTCCTTAAATATTCTCTTGGTATACCCCTAATATTCTCTCAGAATTCCCCTAGTATTCTCCCTGTGTTCACCTTTAATATTGCCCTAGTCTTCCTTGAGTATTTCCCTAGTATTGCCCTAGTCTTCCTTTAGTATTCTCTTGGTATGCCCCGAGTATTTCCTAGTAAGGGAAGGGAAATACTAGGGGAATACCTTCAGTATTGCCCTAGTATTCCTTAAATATTCTCTTGGTATACCCCTAATATTCTCTCAGAATTCCCCTAGTATTCTCCCTGTGTTCACCTTTAATATTGCCCTAGTCTTTCTTGAGTATTTCCCTAGTATTGCCCTGGTATTCCTTTAGTATTCTCTTGGTGTGCCCCCAAGTATTTCCTAGTAAGGCAAGGGTAATACTAGGGGAATGCCTTCAGTATTGCCCTAGTATTCCTTAAATATTCTCTTGGTATACCCCTAATATTCTCTCAGAATTCCCCTAGTATTCTCCCTGTGTTCACCTTTAATATTGCCCTAGTCTTTCTTGAGTATTTCCTTAGTACTGCCCTATGATTGCCCTAGTATTCCCATATTATTGCACTAGTATTCAGTTAACTTAGTAGTCTCTTGGTATACCCCTAGTAATTCCTCACTACCCCATAGTATTCCCTTGCTATTTCCCCTAGTAAAGGGATGGAATTACTAGGGGAATACCTTGAGTATTGCCCTGGTATTCCTTAAGTATTCTGTTGGTATACCCCTAGTTTTCTCTCAGTATTCTCCTAGAATTCTTCCGGTATTCACCTATAAATATTTTCCTAGTACTTCCCTAGTAGTGCCCTAGTATTGCCCTAGTCAGGAAGCCTGAGAGAAGTCAGACAGATTGAGCTTGAGAGTATACCCCTAGTATTCCCTCAGTACTCCGGCGTATTATCCCAGTATTCACCTTTAATATTGCCCTCGTATTCCCTGAGTATGTACCTAGTATTGCCCTAGTGTTCCCCTAGTATTGCGCTAGTATTCCTTTAGTATCTCTTGGTATACCCCTAGCTAGTGTTCCCTAAATATTTCACTAGTCAGGGAAGGGGAATATTCGGGGAATACCTTCAGTACTATCTAACTAACTAGGCAGCTAAATAGATAACTAACTGATTAGCCAATTAACTAGCTAACTGGCTTCAGAGCTCATTCATTACAACTATTTAACTGACTAATTAGCTGACTTGCTGACTGGTTGTTTGACTAACTAATTGAACTTGCCTTGAACTTGAAAAATATGCGTTTCGCAGAGGCGAAAATACACATGTTTCTCAAAAGTAGCATTTTTCCTAGTGATTTTGGCAATTGTCCAGGTTCAAAACCTGGGTTTTGGAGGGGGGGGGTGCATATATATATATATATATATACATATATATATATATACCTATATATATATATACATGTGTGTGTGTACATTCGTACACACACACATACATAAGGACTGCTGCCCAAATCAGTCATGACATTCCCCGAGGCTTCTGCGCACTCGGCCAGCCCAGGTGTCCAAGACCGGCTGAGGCATCAGCTCGCCTGCATCGTTCCGCGGACGGAGTGGGGCCGTCTTTGTCGGAGTTGGTACCCCGTGTTTGGTGGTTTTAAAAACAGAGAAATTAAAGGACCGGATAACCCCACATGCTATGTTTTTCCCAAGGATGTGAGTTCAAATGTCCACACACATGTACCGTGCGCCCCTTGTATGGATGCGATTACAGAGCACCCAGATGCACAGAATGCAGCGCCTGCCACGACTTCGGCAACGGCATCGCCAAAGTGCTGCGCCTGCCACGATTTCGCAACGGCATCGCCAAAGTGCTGCGCCTGCCACGATTTCGCACACCCCCCGCCGCGCGCGCGACAACATCCTGTCCCTCTAGACAGCTGCCGAATGCGACCCCTGCCACACAAACACACACCCAGATGCACAGAATGCTGCGCCTGCCACGACTTCGGCAACGGCATCGCCAAAGTGCTGCGCCTGCCACGATTTCGCAACGGCATCGCCAAAGTGCTGCGCCTGCCACGATTTCGCACACCCCCCGCCGCGCGCGCGACAACATCCTGTCCCTCTAGACAGCTGCCGAATGCGACCCCTGCCACACAAACACACACCCAGATGCACAGAATGCTGCGCCTGCCACGACTTCGGCAACGGCATCGCCAAAGTGCTGCGCCTGCCACGATTTCGCAACGGCATCGCCAAAGTGCTGCGCCTGCCACGATTTCGCACACCCCCCGCCGCGCGCGCGACAACATCCTGTCCCTCTAGACAGCTGCCGAATGCGACCCCTGCCACACAAACACACACCCAGATGCACAGAATGCTGCGCCTGCCACGACTTCGGCAACGGCATCCGCAAAGTGCTGCGCCTGCCACGATTTCGCAACGGCATCGCCAAAGTGCTGCGCCTGCCACGATTTCGCACACCCCCCGCCGCGCGCGCGACAACATCCTGTCCCTCTAGACAGCTGCCGAATGCGACCCCTGCCACACAAACACACACCCAGATGCACAGAATGCTGCGCCTGCCACGACTTCGGCAACGGCATCGCCAAAGTGCTGCGCCTGCCACGATTTCGCAACGGCATCGCCAAAGTGCTGCGCCTGCCACGATTTCGCACGCCCCCCGCCGCGCGCGCGACAACATCCTGTCCCTCTAGACAGCTGCCGAATGCGACCCCTGCCACACAAACACACACCCAGATGCACAGAATGCTGCGCCTGCCACGACTTCGGCAACGGCATCGCCAAAGTGCTGCGCCTGCCACGATTTCGCAACGGCATCGCCAAAGTGCTGCGCCTGCCACGATTTCGCACACCCCCCGCCGCGCGCGCGACAACATCCTGTCCCTCTAGACAGCTGCCGAATGCGACCCCTGCCACACAAACACACACCCAGATGCACAGAATGCTGCGCCTGCCACGACTTCGGCAACGGCATCGCCAAAGTGCTGCGCCTGCCACAACGCAACGGCATCGCCAAAGTGCTGCGCCTGCCACGATTTCGCACACCCCCCGCCGCGCGCGCGACAACATCCTGTCCCTCTAGACAGCTGCCGAATGCGACCCCTGCCACACAAACACACACCCAGATGCACAGAATGCTGCGCCTGCCACGACTTCGGCAACGGCATCGCCAAAGTGCTGCGCCTGCCACGATTTCGCAACGGCATCGCCAAAGTGCTGCGCCTGCCACGATTTCGCACACCCCCCGCCGCGCGCGCGACAACATCCTGTCCCTCTAGACAGCTGCCGAATGCGACCCCTGCCACACAAACACACACCCAGATGCACAGAATGCTGCGCCTGCCACGACTTCGGCAACGGCATCGCCAAAGTGCTGCGCCTGCCACGATTTCGCACGCCCCCCGCCGCGCGCGCGACAACATCCTGTCCCTCTAGACAGCTGCCGTGAGTCAGCGAGTGTGAGTGAGTGAGTGAGCGAGTGAGTGAGTGAGTGAGTGAGTGAATGAGAGTGAGTGAATGAGAGTGAGTGTGAGTGAGTGAGTGTGAGTGAGCGTGAGTGAGTGAGTGAGTGAGTGTGAGTGAGTGTGAGTGAGTGAGTGTGAGTGAGTGTGAGTGACTGAGTGTGAGTGAGTGAGTGTGAGTGAGTGTGAGTGACTGAGTGTGAGTGAGTGAGTGTGAGTGAGTGAGTGTGAGTTGAGTGAGTGTAAGTGAGTGAGAGTGAGTGAGTGAGTGAGTGAGTGAGTGAGTGAGTGAGTGAGTGAGACGGAGACGAGCGGGAGAAGGAGGAGACGCGGCGCGCGGACGACGAGCGGAAAAAGTAAGAACCCCACACAAAGATGTGGGGAACAAAAGGAAAACCACTATTGTTTATTTTATTGAATCTCATTTAAGGAAAACCACTATGATTATTGAATCATCTATCTATGTATTTATCTATTTATTTATTTTCAGGGGGAGGTCTTTTAGTGACAAAGGCCCTTTTTTGCGGTTGGTTTAAAGGACAACCACTACAGTACTCTGCGGGGTCCAAATCCTTAAAAAGCCAAGGCCCAATTGGTTCCGATCGCCGAAAACCAAAGCACAATCATGCAGCATTCGACAGGAACCCACGTCTGTTAGAACCCGTTTGGGGCCAGGCCCTAAATGAGCCATGGACCGAAATACGCGCACTTTGTCATGGAGTCCTGGTTCCGGTAAGAACATTATGGCACCCTTCACGTTGTTGTCTGAACTTCCAAGGTTGATGACCACTCCGACGACCCCCAACGTAAAGCTGTGGGGCTTCTCAATATGGGCGGAAGTTGACAGGTGCCGAATTTGACACCCGCTCACACAGATGCACATTGCATCCGATGAAAAGCGATTGCAGGAAACTGTTGAGGGGTAGAAACAAAATTCATGGAAGGCGCAAAATGCGACCTGGCCTCGTGTGAGATCCCTTCGCCCCATGCCGATCTCTGTGATACTGTAGTCATACGGTGGACGGGCCCATGGGACAACTAGCTCTGTTCCATCTGGTCTGCTGCCCCACCCACGCCTCCCAAAGCCACAGTCTGCAGCTCGTAGACGCGATCCGCCTGCCGAGAGATCTCTGGCCTGAGACAAGATGTCTCAACTTGACTATCTTTTGATGGTTTCTGCCCCGCCCCGGCACTTCTTTGGGATGACTTGCCTCGCGCCCACCTTCAAGCTATTTGGGGAACCCGCTGCATCTTCCAGGAGGGCCGCTTCAGTGGCGCCGGCCTGTTGCGCCTGATTCGGCATGCCCATCTTGGATGACTCCATCAAGGTATCAAAAAAAGCAAGGCTAACATTCGAGCAAAAAGCCACTTCACTGGAGGGCAACGAAACCGGCGGGTTTTCTGATTTCCTGGTTGGTGCAAACATGCTTCCCCACTTACCCGGCTTGGCCCCCCACCCCACTTCCCCTGTCACTGTGCCTCAACAGTGGCGAAGTGCGCAGGCGTCGCCTCCGGGATCCGAGGAGGGGGGGGGGAGCTACTCAGGACCTGGCTGAATGCTTAACTGGGACCCCAGCAACAAGGAACTCCCCTTCTTTCGCATTTTCCTCTTCCATGACTTCAACAAGATGACTGAACTCTAGCTGCTCGAAGATCTTGCGATTTGTTTGCTCCCTGGTGTGCTGAAAGCATCCCTCCGGCTCATTTGCTCCCGAAAGCAAGTCAGCGGCAAAAATCGGCGCCCCCACCAGCGCGGCGCTGGCCGCCTGCACGTGGCTGGCCCTGGTGCGCAGCAGGCCTGGCCCCAAGGGTCCCTCCGCCTGCGCCAGGCATGCGCCCGCCAGCCACGTGCTGAAGAAGTCCCCGAGCGACCTCGCGGCCAGCCAGCCGCCAAGCGTGTGGTTTGACACCCCCCAAAACAGCTGCAGGTCCCCCAGGATTTGTTCCTCAAAAACAGAAGGCAACTGGGTAACCGGCGTGGACTTGGGTGTCAGCCCAATCAAAATGGCAATACGAATGGAAGAGCCTCTGGCAAATTCTGGGCACCTGGTGTGAAATGAGTGTTGATTTCAGGCTTGACGAAAAGTACCGCTTGCCAAGAACGATGAGAGCTTTAGATGCGCAGACCAGGCCTCAACACCTGCTCAGGTGGCTGCCAGTATCTCGCATGCAGCTAACAATCCAGCTTTTGCAACATTAAGACACTGATACGCAGCAACACACCCAGCCAAAGGGAGGGACGTGCTTGAGGGTGATGTTTACATCCACGCAAACGTCCCTGTCCCCTTTTGGTTGGTCAAGGGAAACGAAACCGCTTTAGAGGACCCCTATTTTGAGAAACCCCCATACAAACTCCTGTTCACGCCGAGCAGCGGGTCGAAGGTATGCGCGCTGCCAACGAAGACAACGCTTTGGCGGTCCACCTCGATAAGAGGGAAGCAACCCAGTGGATCCGCTTGCGAGTTTTCAAAATTTGCACAAAAAAGACATGTACGTTTCCCGTAGGTGGCCCACTACATAGCATTATTTTATACTTTTAGACACATCCACTTAGCCGTATAGTAGGTCACCATGTAAAAACCACAGAAGGCAAGATTCCTGATTGCCTGCTATAGTGGAAGCCGGATCCTCTACATCCTGGGGCAGCCATTCAGCTCCGCCTAAGGCGCCGCCCAAGGCTTGAGAGAAATCTCCCAGGGCTGCGCCTGGTGGGCGCGATTCTTGGCGCGGCAGTATGCCTCCAGGTTCCCAAAGCTGCAGCAGCAGCCCTGGCGAGTGCAACAAACGCGATGGGTGGAGAAAAGGCGGGATCCAGTGGTGTCATTCAAAGGGGTTGTGCTATGTTCCAAAGAAGACAGTGAGACATTGACGCACACTGGAAGTGTGTTATTTGAAATAACGTGGTCTTCTTTAGGCAACTCGAGCAGCTACTTGCTGTTCGTGCAGGCAATGCACGTGAGGCTTGAGGAGCTACTACGTTTCCTGACAGAAACTGAGGTTGAACCAAATGAAGCACCCTCGAAACTCTCGCTTTCAGTTGTTGCTTGTCACTAAAAAAACACCTTGCCAATCCAGCAAGTGTGGCAACTCCCTCCACATGAATCAAGCCGATCTTTCTGACAACTTGACAAAGCCAAGGCATCAGACCTGTTCTGATCCCCGCCTTGGGCCGCCCCGTGCTCCCTGAGGTGAAGAAGATGTGAGACACAGCGTCGCGGGAAGGCCAGGTGAGTGGAGGACTGGCAGCCTCGGATGTTCTGGTTCAAATGGGCTCAACCAGTCCCCGTTTCAGAATGTGTGTCTTTACAAAAACTGCTCTTCTTTTTGGTCGTGTAACAAAAACCTAGAATTGTTCTCTCCCAGCTGAGAAACTCAGACTAATATGGAGAACATGATGGTCTCTTTCAAACGGCCCTGACGCTCTGTCAGAAGCTCAGTCAGCCCATCAGCCCGCCAAGCCCAATAGGCAAAGGCCAGAGGCTAGGAAAGGAACCGGGACGTCTGCTCTGATTTCTCTTCAACAAAGCACTCTCCACTTCCATTGAAGGGAGCTTTCGCTTTGTCGTCTGAACGTGCTGCTACAGGGCACCGGAAGGCAAATATTGCACAAGGAGCTCGGCAGCTGTCAGTCATGCGAGTGCTTCACCAACCGAACTGCCAGGTCAGCACATGCAGTTGGGCTTCTTGGCCCACCTGACCCAAAAATAAACCTGGAACCAAACTTTGGGGTCTACCCCAGCCCAAGAGCGCAAATATCCGAACGTTAAAGTGACCATCGTCAACTTTACTTTTTAATCGGTGGCTCGGAGAGCAACCACCCCCAAACGCAATCTCAACGTTCAAAAAAGCAAACCTCGAAGAACGCCGCGCCAACCACAGCCGTCAACCAAAACACCTCAGCCAGCAGCTCTGCAGCCACCAGGATGCGGCCTGGAAAGGCCGAAAAATCGGCCCTGGCTCTGGCTGTTGGTGAATGAATAAAGGAAGCCGATGTTTTTGGCTCTGCTGTTGGTCCGAATCTGGTGTTGTGTGTGTGTGTGTGTGTTCTTTCTTGGCAGTCGTGCCCGCTTCAGGGTTCGTGGGAAACCAATGGGAACACACCGACTTTGGGCTTATAGACAAATCCATTGCGGTGGATCGTCATGCGTCTGCTTCAAGGTTCAAGGGTCAAGAGCGTGCCTATAAACCAAAAACAGTCACCAGCTGTTGTGACATCCAACAGCCACTCCAGCAGTGTAGGATTTGTGCCCTGAACAGTCCAGTGTGGTGAAGTCACATTCGGTCCTCAAACGCCTTCCACTCTCACCAAACAGAGGGAGATGGTCATCTCAATCCCAAACCAAAGCCCAAACTTGCACGTCAAGCTCGCGCCTTGCCGAATCTGAATCTTGGAGCATCTCTTGGCTAGTTCTCAGACTGGAGTAAGGGATCGACCCCAAACCCCAAACCCGTCCCTTGCTTTTCTGTTCTCAGTGGTTCATTGATCCCTCACGAGCTCTCGAAAAATATGGAACAAACCCAGGGCAATGGCCTCTAGCCAACCCCCCCCCAGAAACCGTTCAAATCCCCCAAACCTCCAGGCCTCCGGCCTCCAAGCCCTCCAAGCCATCCACGATGGTGGCCAGCAAGGGCCCGCAGTCCTAGCCGACCGGTGCCTCCCGCTCACTTCCAAAGGCTGCTTCAAAATGAGTCGGGCCAGAATCTTGGCCTAAGGGACACCTCAGGAACCCCTGTCCAGCTTTTCTACTCTGGTGTCGTGGGTTCGGAGCACGGTACCAATGGGGTCCATAGAAAACCCATGGCGCAGAATCCCAAAAACACCGCACCTGTTCATGGCAAGGTCCCCTTCTAACCTTCTGACCACTGGAATCATGCAGCCAGGGGAGACGGCTTCGAACTGCGCGGATCCTCCCCACCATTGCTGCATCCCTGTCAGGATGAGATCCAGACCAGCCCAAAGAACGCACCAAATCAGCACCCAAGGTGGCCAGTCCGCAGGCTGCGCTGCAACATGAGGCCATGAGTCTTCCAAGTCCAGAAAAAATGCTACAACATGTCATTGTCAAGCTGTCCCTTTCTCTCATCAGCCTTCACACGGCTGACCTACGTCAAGCAACTTCGCGGGCCGCCTGGACTCGGGCGCCCGAACAATGACTGTGGAATCCGAAAAACAGAGTCAAAGAATTTGCGGACCCCGAATTTCACAGGATCCCACCCCCTCAAATCACACACAACGCACACACCCGGTTCCTTTGAAGCCAAATGGGTATGATTTCTGAATCTGGGACCCCTTCATGGACATCATGGCAGGGAATGAAAAAGTCCAAACCTTTTTTTGGGGGGCTCCCTGTTGAATGAATTGGTGGTATCTTTGTTTTGTGGTTTTTAAGGGAAACTCAAAGGACAACCACCATTTTCGGCAGTGCCCCAAAAGAAAGACACACCCCTCTTGGATCCAAACACATCCTTTGCCCCACCGCGCCCCCCCGATGGCCCCCAATGGATCCGCGTGCGGGTCGCGTCCTCCAGCTGCAGCCGGAGCCGCGGCAGAGGCTCTGAGGGGCTCAGCGGCACTAGCGCCAACCCCGCCAGCAGCACCGCCAGCTCCAGCTGCGGCAGCGTAGGGCCCCCTGCGCGCGAAGAGATAACCCTTGGGGGGGGGGGGGTGGGGAGGCGGCCGAAAACATGCTGAGGTTGGGAAACTGTAGAAACATCGTGCTGAAAGTGAGTTGGAACAAAACACTGCTTCGGTCTTGGTTCTCAGGGCTTGGTGCTTGAGTTGTAGCCAGGTGCATGGTTGCAGAAAATGGACGCCCCTTTTTGATTCCCATCCACATGAGTGACTTGATCAATTTCCGGGGGATTCCCTTGGCATCACGGAAAGTTGCCCCAGAACAATTATCAACAAGCAATGCGTCTCTGCCTCCTTGGGAAGTCTGTTGAAACAAATGCAATCTAAAAAACGGCCGATGGAATTTCAAGGTCGGAGCGCGGCAACATACAGGCACAAGCCCAAGAGGGCTCCATCATAAGGCGGCTTGGAGTGGTGGACCCGTATGCATCTCCTAGCCACAGAGCTGCCGCGTTTCGAATGAGAGCACCACGAGAACCCACAGAACATAGCCAGGAGCATTATGAAGAATCACGGGTAATCACAATGGAAAGGCAATGAAAAGCCTGCTTGACCAAGATAGCGCTTTCATCCGGAACCACTATTGCAAGTAACTTCATCTGGCAAAACAATTTCAAGTAGCTGTCAACAACTTTCAAACAACAAGAATGATCAGAATCAACTGCACGCACCAATCGCAAAAAAGAAAAAACCAGCAAGCACGAAACTGCGGACAGCGCCACCCGCCACGTCCGCTCGATTCTGGGACTTGATCAGAAAGATGGCCCTGCCTGCCAGCATCATCCCCACGTGCCGTCCATCTGCCTCTCCCGCCAGCTGCGCAAGTCGTGCGGCCGCACCGCACGCCGCCGCCCAGACCGCACTGTAGCTCAGCACCTGCAGGGAGGGGTCACTGTGTTGAACCGCTCGAAAACACCGCAAAACCACGCTAAAACCCTGTGCAATCGTGCTGTACTGAATTGAAATTACTCTAAATTACTCTAAAACGAAAACCACTGTAAAACCAAAACCACTCTGAACCCTCCGAACATCTGAATGGGCGTAATCGAGCCACTCTCAACTTTAAGTGAGATTTGAATGAGCCAGCCTAAAACCCCGGGCCGCTTGTTCGCTTGTGGCTCGCAAAATGCATTCTTAGTGCAAAGACCATTGAAGCCGATGTTCGAGCTTGGAAGCGCGACAGCCGCTTATGGATTCACGCCAAACTGAAAGTGAAGCACTCAAAAAGCTGACCTGCTGAATCGACTGGCCAGGACAAGTGTGAACTTGTTGGGCCTCGAAAATGATGAGCAAACCAACAGAAACTGGCAAGATTGAAAACTAAGTAGGTAGGAAGTAAGTAGGAAAGAGAAACTGCTTTAGGATTTAGAGGTGATTAACCCAAAAGTGTGGTAGATTCAAACGGATAGGCATTGGCAAGATACTGACTAGGATCTTTGCGGAATGCATCGGGTCGTGCTTCAATAGGCTCTGGTCAAGACCAAGAGGCTTCCTGTCAGGAAAGCATCGGAGAGCCTTTGGGCCTTTTCTGGGCACGTCTCCTTTTCTATCGTGTGTGATGTCATGAAACCACAGGTGGTCCCAGCAGGGCGACAATTGGACGACAAAGTCACCAGCTGGTTCTGGATCCCAAGAACAGTGCTAGGTGCTAACATGATGGTGTTGCACCGTGTCGAATCCCGATCCCATGTTGCTTGGCGCCGGTGTGATGCTGAGCTGTCTCTGAGCTTTGCGCAGGGCTGCCTCAGGCAAGGGGCCGAAAGAGCCTGTCAAGCATCCTAACACGGCCTCCTTCAGCACCGACAAGAACAACACGATGAACAAATACCATTTGCCAGCTTCCCATACTGAACGGCCTCGTGACAAAGGAACCAAGGCCTACCTTGCGAGGTGCCCCTCCCGTGGGTCATTGCCGTTGGATGAAAGCCATGGCCGAGATAGTCTTTGGCTTATGCCCAAGATCTTAGCAAGGCAGGCACGCGCACACGCACAAACAAACAAACAAACAAACAAACAAGCAAGCAAGCAAACAAACAAACAAACAAATGGAGTCCTTTTTAATTTGCAAGGTGTTCCCGTGTAGGGGGAATTAACTATCCCTTGGTTTCGGACTACCTGGTGGCAATCAGCAAATTGCACCAAGACAACTGGCCTGCGGCTTTGAAGACAACGGCGCGTACACCAAAGCCGGGGCTGCTGGCGCCTGAGACAGGCTGCAAGAACAGTTCGACCCCTTGGACATCAAAAGACGGCACAAATGACACCGTCCAAAGTCTAAGAAGGGCACAGCCTTGCACCATCTGCAACAGATTCCTCCACATGTCGAGCTTGGAATGTGGCCAAGTCAGCGGTAAGATGTGGATGGCCGCAACAGTACGGTAAGTCCATAGCGCTTTGTCTGATTGTGAGGCTTTGTCAAATGGAAAGGTGTGCTGTCGCCTTTTTGGCTGCCCTATTGGTTCTCTTCCTTTTTGAAGGTTTTCCCTTTTGTGCGTCCGTTGTGGTTGTCGTCCTCTTCTAAGGTGTTCCCTTTTGGTTGTCCCTTGTGGTTGTCCTTTTGGTTGTCGTCCCTTTTGGCGGTTTGTTTTTGTGGTTTTGTCTTTTTGGTTGTCCATTTGAGTTGGGCCTTCCGTTTCAGTTGTCCTTTTCGCTTGTCCTTTCGCTGGTCCCTTTCGGCTGTCCCTATTGTTTCTTGGGGCTATCCCGTTTGGCTGTCCCTGTTGCTAGGGCATGGGATGTCCACGGAAAGCTCGAAGCATCCCATCAACTCGCCGGTTGGGTCAATCACCCCGTCGGATTTCGGATTTTCCGGCACCAGGCCTAGGAAAGCCAGATCTTCCACCATCTGCAACTGGCAGTTCTGGAGTGCCCGCTCAACTCATTGGTTTCCTGCTAGCTTCCTAACATCCACGAAAAAGAAGGATTCTACCTCTGACAAGCCCAAGTAGGTGAGATATGTTCGAACCCACCAAGGAAGACACCCAGACCTCACAAGGATGGTAAAGGCCGCGCGCCCACATAAGGTTCTCCTTTTGAGTGGACCTTTTTTGATGCCTTCTTGTGTGTGTGTGTGCGCGTGTTGTGCGCGTGTGTCTGACTGCATATGTGTCAAAATAGGGCATCCCAAAAGTGGGGGTTGTCCTTTTGCTTTCCCTTTAAGCTGAGGTGAAAACGGTACCTTGAAAACAGACGCGCGAACACACAGACACTTGAGCTACATCCTGCCTGTTGGACATTGGCGAAGATCGCTTCCAAGAGAGTCGGCTCCATACGGGCATTGCACTCACTCTTCTGGGTGCTATTGTGTGGACCCCCCGCGTGTGAACATCGGCGCTCGGTGCATTTGAGTTGCCGGTGAGGACTCCAAAAAAGCAACAATGCACCAAGTAACTGGGCAACTAGGAGCAAGAAACGTTCGATACCCTGCCTGTCAAATTTTGACATGTTCGTGCAATTCCTTCTGAGGATTACAGTTCCCCACGCTAGTCACGTGATCGGAGTTCATCAACGGATGCATGTGCAGAAGCTCGCTTTGCGAATGACATGCAATCGCTGGTCAGGTTCTTTTACACCTATGGGCTCATTTCTGAGGGTGGAAGTAAGTCTCCCTGTAAGCTGCTCCTATCAGCTGATTGCTTTGCAGAGTGGGTCAGTTGCCAGCCGCCTTTGCTACTCTTGGCTTGAAATCATCGGCCTGCCACTTGCAGTCGCTAAGCAAAAAGCTCGAGCCAGAGGAACACGCTCAGCTTGCTACCCCAGTTTGTTTCAATCAGCTGCCGCAAAAAATGTGTCATGCTGGATGGGGAATCGCTGGCACCTCAGACCCAACGGCGCAGGAATTGCATTAGCCACAAGACTGCGCAGTGCTCGGCATCATAGGCCTTCCTATGAATTTCCACTTATCTGCGCAAGGCACATTGAACTCTCATTGATCACGCTGCTAAGTCCAGCATGGTAGCTACAAGACCACATTCGGCCCCATACAGGACAAATCATCCATACGCACAGCAAATCATCTCTCTGTCTTTCTCTCTGTCTTTCTCTCTGTCTTTCTCTCTGTCTTTCTCTCTGTCTTTCTCTCTGTCTTTCTCTCTGTCTTTCTCTCTGTCTTTCTCTCTGTCTCTTCTCTCTCTCTCTCACTCCCTCTCATCATTTTGTCATGCTGACAAGTAGAGTCTGCCCAAGCTGTGAGAACCCGTTCCGCATGCAAAAGCCAGGCTTGGCGCCAGGGCAATACTCAAGTGCTCACGGGACGCATTGAGCCCGGATGAATAAACCCACTGGTTGGGCGGTGGGACCCCAAATTGACATCGTTTAAGGTTCAAGAAAGAGTACATCTGGGCTCTCTTCAAGCCCCGAATTTTTCGGGATGATGTTTCAGTGGAACTGAGGGGTTCTCACACACTCACTCGGCCGCACAGCAAACACCAGAGTCAGAGAGTCGGGCGTTCTCTTCATCATGCCCTTGTTGGCCGTCCCAGTGTCCAGCCTTCTCCGTTGCACTGCATCGTCCAGCACGTGGTCGGCAAGGTCTGGCGAGCACACCTGTTCCCACCCGGTCGGCGCCCGCTGCGGACCTCGCCACAGAGGCTCCCGGCGCGGTGGACATGGGGCCTTCTAGTCGCAGTCCGCGGGCTTTCGGGGCTTCAGCCGCGCCCATGGGTGACTGGGGCCACTGGGGCCACTGGGGCCCACTGGGGCCACTGGGGCCCACTGGCACGCTATCCCGCGAGGCTGGCGGCGTCGGCGAAGCTCAGGCGAAGCTTCCGGAGCTGCTGCCGGGATCTGTGATCCTTCCTGGGCGGGGAGCCTAAGGCCAGCTAAGCAAAAGGCAGGTGGTCAGGAATCAAACAGATCAGAGGCTGCTGCTTGAAAGAAGCACGCCCCTCAACCACAGGTGTCAGACAACATACTCATAGGATAGTACACGCCAACTGGAACAACATTCCCCACATACTACCAGATCAGATGAGGTGATAAGCCAGATCAGCTCTTGGATTTGTCAAGACCTACGTAGACTCTGTTGGCCCGTGCAATCATCAGAAAGCTGGCACGGCAGCAATACCTTTGCCTCAAGGTGAACTCCTCTCGAAACCAGACACTCAGTTCCATAGGAAGGGCTAGGTCCTCCAATTCCATTTCCCTATTCTTACCACAAAGATGGAAAATGGATTCACACATGGAATTGTAGGGCTCACCCCGCTCACCCCTCAATCCCCCACCTTAGCTCATACCAATCTGCAGTTGGATTCTCCCGAACCTGCCGAACACAAAAACGTTCAGCGCATGCCACCTCACCAAGCGTCGGCTTGGCCGACTGCAGGGCTGCCAGCAGCCTGGGAGGCAAAGGCATGAACCTCAGTGCGGCATTTGCTGCGAGCGGTGGCTTCCGAACGTTGGGAGCCTCTAGAACTGGCGAAGTGATACTGGTTTCCCACTGAAGCCGTGCAAGGATCACTCCGGGGATCAAAGTGGCGTTGCGTGGATTTTGTTGCAGCGGGAGGGAGGTCAACCCTACAGGCCCCAAAAACGGGCCGGGAGCAGTTGGGGCCAGCCACAATCCGACGGGGGTTCGGGGGTTTCATCCATCCAGGGATATTGCCAAGGTATTTTGCGCATTTTTGCGCCACAGCGGCACTTCTCGTCTGGCTTTCCCCTCATTGAAGGCCAAGCGATGGCGATGCAAAAAAGTGCCACCACACCAGTCCTGCAAGAAGAGAAGAAACGTGAGCGGGCTGAAAAAAAGGGGACCCCGCTCAAAACATATCGCTTCCTTTCCAAAAGTAGGGGGCGCCCTTCTCGAGCGGTGTTCAAAGGTGAACCAAAGGGAAACCAGTCATTTGTAGGGGTCCCCGCTTTCTGACAAAACTCTGAGGTCTGTGGAAAAACCAATCAATGAGTGATTCGGCTTGCTATCAGGCGTTTGCTGTCTTTCTTTCATTTATATATACCGTACACAGAATATGTCCCATGGCATGACTGTGTTCGAATGTGGTTTCTGGCTCATGTTGTTCTTCAGCTTTCGCAACACACAAGCTTTTCGTGCTAGGAGCAGCAAAACAGCCCATTGCACGCTCGTGGGGACGGCGACACAGCCGGTTGCCTTGTGTTTGCCCGCGACCCATTGGGGCGGTTCGTGCTGATTCCGAGCTCCGTGAGCTCCATGAACAAGGCTTCACGCGCACTCTGCGGGGATCGGTATGAACATGTGCAAAACCTGAGGATTTGTTTTTGGCGGATGTGTTCAGAAGTTGTCTCGAGGTGATGTGGCATAATTATCAGAGAAGGACAGCCATAAACTTGTACAGAGTAACTTGCGCAGAGCAAGTTGCAGAGAGCACTTGCACAGAGCACTTGCGCGGAGCAACGTGCAATGAGCAATTTGTACAGAGCAACTTTCGTGCGCGCAAATGACGCAGAGACATGGATGACGCAGATGACGCAGAGACAGGTGCAAGGCGCTAGGCGCAAGGTACAAGGCGCAAAGGTGGCCTGGCGCAAGGTACACGAGGTGCAAGGTGCACGGCGCAAGGGACAATGAAGGCACAAGCTGCAAGGTGCAAGGCGCAAGGCGCAAGGTGCAAGACTTTCCTCTTTTGTGTTTGCGTGCACTTGAACGGCAAACAGCTGCGTTGCCCGTGTGCTTGCCAAACATGCGCGGCACCAAATGCGATGGCCTTCCAGTTTGTTCGGATGTCCAGAGCAAATTTGCCGGCTACCCGAAGCGTCGGCTGACCCAAGACTTGCCTCAAACCCGAGAAGGCAACTGCAACCTGACCCTCCAGAGCGTGCGAATGGGCCTCCAGAGATCCAAAAAGCCCCGCCAAACAGCTTCCCACGTTTGCCACGGCTCCCTTCTCCATTTGTATGCACCGGAGCCCAGGTTCAGTTGGAGGATTCACATGAAGGTTTCCTATTTAAGACCTCACTTTTGGGGTCCTTGTCTGCTTGGAAGGTCGCCGCGGCCGCATAGAGCCCATCGCAGGCCACCGGGTGTCCACAGTGGGACGCTTGGGCGCGGATCTGGTGGCCTGGGTTATGGTCGCAAAGCTGTGTCCAGGAGTTGCACATGTGTACATAGGTATATGTGAATGAGCAGAAATACCCCGCCAGGTCGGAAATGAAAGGGAAGTCAAGCGTGACAAAACCGCTAGAGCCCACTTGCTCATGCTTGTGGCAGCTACGTCTGTTCATCAAGTCAGTGCAACCTCTGAGACAGTGGTCATGTTCTGCCATGATCCTGACAACGGCACGAATGCACGTGCGTCGTTCACGCTATAGGCAAGACAATGTGCATAGATGTGCTTAGGCATATGCATATGCATATGCATATGCATGTGTGTGTGTGCATATGTGTATAGAATGTAAAATGCTACTCCTGTACATACATACATTACATACATACATTACATACATACATACATACATACATACATACATACATACATACATACATACATACATACATACATACATACGTACATACATACATACATACATACATACATACATACATACATACATACATACATACATACATACATACATACATACATACATACATACATACATACATACATACATACATACATACATACATACATACATACATACATACATACATACATACATACATACATACATACATACATACATACATACATACATACATACATACATACATACATACATACATACATACATACATACATACATACATACATACATACATACATACATACATACATACATACATACATACATACATACATACATACATACATACATACATACATACATACATACATACATACATACATACATACATACATACATACATACATACATATACATACATACATACATACATACATACATACATACATACATACATACATACATACATACATACATACATACATACATACATACATACATACATACATACATACATACATACATACATACATACATACATTACATTACATACATACATACATACATAC